GGGGGGGTATGGGGGTATTTGGGGTGGGTATGGGGGTGTTCGTGGGGTGCCGACGACCCCCGACCGGTAGGTGCCGACCAGCCGACCAGTTGGCGGGTCGGCAGCCGACCAGTCAAGGGTCGCCGACGATCGGGGTGTGCAACACTGCAGCCTGTGTTAAAAAAAAAAAAAAAAAAAAGACTGCTATATATTTTGAGGATGAATAAATCGGCACTGCTTGGTAGAATAGGCTCTCTTATAATTGAAGGGGGCAAGGCGGAAACTCATCCCCTAGCATGGTACCAAGTCCTTAGACAGGGCCCCTCCTTTAAAGAAGGGGGTTGCAGGGTGGGTTGGATTGTTCCATATGGTCGACGCACGAAAAGCTCTGGTGGAGCGCTATGCCGTCACGGGACAGGCTTACTCCAAGGCAGTAGGGATCCCTTCACATGGGAGGATAAAGGAGATATGTAGCGTATAAGAGTGCTTGAGGAAGGGGGTGAAAAGGTGGCTTACCAGCTGGAGTGGGACATCCAAGACCTGCCACTGGACCCGACAGAATGCAGATGGAAGTGCCACAGAGACAATCGGCCCCCCCACCATGTTGGATCCACCGCCTATCACTCAAGTCCAGGTACAGGATGCTACGACCCAAACAACAGTTGAGGGACACTATAACCGATCATTGGTCCAAGCACCTCAACCTGGACAGCTGTCTACTAACACAATTCGCTGGTTCCAGGAACGGAAGGCGGCTTGCCAAGATCACCTCCTTGCAGTGGCAGATAGTGCGCCGCTGCTTGCCCACAAATGATTGGTTGGTGGATCACACCACCTTACAGCAGAAAGGGCTGGCGCTGCCTTGGTGCCGATGGTGCGTGAGTCTGTTGACTCTGTTCCCCTTCAGCGAAAGAGCGGAGACAACAGAACACATCTTTATGCAGTGCCCAATTGCACAGTTCATCTGGCACTGGTGGGATAGTGTTTGGTGGAAAATGGTGGACGACACCCCCTGGCCCTGTTCATGGCAGGCCATTGTGACGGGACACTGGCCGGCTGCACAGCAAGCCAGAGTCTTCGTTGAGAACATGTACAGACTTGGCCGACGGGCGGTGCTCTGGGCCCTTTGGTGGCAAAGATGTCTGCTCGTCATGGAACAAGTACGGGTAGAAGGACCAGAAATCACTGAGCAGAGACAGCAGCAAGTACAATTAGAGCTGTCATGTAGATGGTCCACCCTGAAACCCCAGTACCAAGTTACTACCAACAGATCAAGGATATAAAGCGGGCGATCACGGCCTACTGCACAGAGTGCCTAGGGGGGA